AGCATGACAAAGCTGATACTCGTAGCTCAGAAAATTTGTTTTTCTGGTGTATGATACAACACGCGTTTTAGCAATATTAAGTTTCATGGAGTTAGCAGTGCACCAGTCACTTACGGAATTAATGTCAGATTGAAGTAAGAGGCAATCATGAGGAGAGTTAATAATGCGGAGAATTTTTAGATAATCGGCAAAAATTAGAAATTTACAGTAGTTAACGGAGTCGCATAGGTCATTTATGAATACGTTGAAAAGAAAAGGCCCCAGAACAGAGCCTTGTGGCACACCAGACTTTACATGAAAAGGCAGGGAGAGAGCCAGAAACGCGAACTCGAGACTGTCTGTTGGTTGAGTAACTGCGAAACCAGCTAACATAAGCATCACAAAATCCGAAGGAGCTTAATTTAAATAAGAGCATATTATGAGGGACGAGGTCAAAAGCATTAGAAAGATCAAAATAGACGGCATCAGCTTGACGCTGAAACTCCTTATGCATATCATTGCACATGAGACCATCTCAACGGCGTACATAAACCCCTCATATGTTTAATACCATAACAGCAGCCTCTGAAAATGTTTGGATAATGAACTTAATATTTCCTGAATGTCTGAAGCCGTCTCTATGAAACCTGGCATAAAGTCATGTTATAAGATACACTTTCAACGTAATACCTCACAAGTACCTCCCTTCCCTGACTCTTAACATTATGGTCGCTCAAATTCTTGGTATGGAACCCATAAGTTTGATTTTACCAAGACATTCATTTCAGGGATGTAATACCATTTGTAGTCCTTTAATGTACCTTTTATGTAATAGTGAAAACCTGAGCTATCACAATACAATGAAAATAAAGTTACATTTCCAGAGAAATAAAAGATTAGGTTTGCACGATTGCAAGACATTAATTAAATGTTTATGTTGCCGTGTACAGCGTAATTTCTGTTAGCGTGGAATTAGTGTAATTTTACATAGAATGTCATATGCTCATAACATTTTTGTGGAGAAACAAGTGTGCAAGGCAGTTTCAGTAGGATTCTGTCGCTTGATGGTGAAACATTGGCTCTGGTGATATTACATTCTATTCTTTCTAGCGCAATTAAGGTTCAATAAAAATCGAATTTGTAGTATTGTAGCTTGTAGATCCATTGTTAGATAACGATCGCGAAATAAGCAACTATACAACGGCCGTTACTACGCAGCGGCTCGTAAACAGCA